TTCACTAATTTGGACGAACTTGGGTAATAACTTGAATCAAAACACTTAAAAACACACTCTAAAACATATTCTAACTAATTAGACACTCTAAGACACTTAGGGGATTGGTTTTTGACGAAATCAACCAAACAAAACAAATATGTAAAATAGGCAGATTTAGGCGAATTTGATAAAATTAAGTGGATGGTGAGATGGCTAGGAGGTTTTTCTCCACACATGGCATATTTGCATATAACACAATTTCTAGTTGCTTATTCAATGAATTTATGAACCCCAACACCCCAAGTTAATTAGGTACGCTTAAATTAACTCTCAGATTTCCCTTAGGCCATTGAATTGAATGGAGTTAGCGCATTGCAATCAAATTATTCCTTAAAAGTTTTCTATATGAAAGCGCATAAAAGAAAGACAATCAAAGATCATTAGGTTCTATGGAAATCATAGGTGTTGATGAGGCATTCGTAACTATGAAAGCGCATGATACTTATGCCAAGAATTCACTTATCATAATTGTGATCAACAATCTTAACTACTCATGAATATAAGTTCCCAACGATTAGGTGAAGTTCCCTCATACCCTAGCATCATGTTTATGCATGCAAATTAAGCGTGCACTCTCAATTCATATACATAAGCAAGTTTTAATTAAAACAGATAAGCAAATTGAATTCATCATTCATGAAATCACAACTAAAAGTAATCAAATCATCATGCAAATATAACCATGGTTTCGAAATTCCCCCCTAGCCAAAAGGGGGATTAGTTCCTCATGCTTGCACAAAAAAAAAGTATTGAATTTAAACATTGAAATCATAAGAAAGAGTACACCTAAATGCTCAGCAATTCCAATATGGATTCGATGCACAGATTGGCTCATCTTCCTCCTCCTTGCTGCGGCACAAAGTGTGGGTGATGGAATTGGGGGTTTTGGATGGTGTTTTCTAGTTTGGAGGGATGGAGGATGGTTGATTATGGTGGGGAAGGGTGCGGCAGAGGTGTATGGATGTGGAGGGAGGTCTATGGATGCTTAGAATGGAGAATGGAGGTGCGGCACAAGGGTTTTCTGTCTAGCATAAGGGGTGTACAAATTTTTGGCTGAAAGTATGTTTATATAGTCTTAGGGTTAAGTAGATTAGGGTTAGACTTAACAGGTTTGGTGAATTAGGGCCCTAGAATTCGGCCATGGTGATTCAAATCCACTTAGGAGAAGGTTTTGGCCCACATAGTTTTATAAACTGATTTGTATACCCAAATCCACAAGGATTAGGCCTTGGAATTCAGAATCCCAAAGGGATTGGGCCTAGGAAAGTGCGGCTGATGTAGGGGAGAGGGTAGCTTGGCTTGCAAGGCAAGGTAAAGCCTTCTAGAAAGGTTTGGGGCGCCACTTTTCTAGGGTTTCTAGAAAGAGTAGGTTTTGTGGCAGATTTGGGCCTTCTAGAATAGAATGCTTCTAGAAATAGGTTCTAGAATGATCCATTTAAGTCCCCATGTAATTAGGAGTAAGACATGATAAGGTTTGGATAGGATAAGATGAGGTAAGGTTTGGATAATGTTTTGGATAATTGGATAATGTTGGATAAGGTTGGATAATGTTTTGGATAATGTTTCCTCTTTTCTTGCACTTTCCTTATCCACTTTGTCCTTAGCTTAGTTCCTTCCTATTCTTATCACATTTCCACCTTCTTGAAGTCCAAATTCGTCCATCCATGTTAGCCCACACGCAAGCTCACCACCTAGTGTCCAAAATGCACCAAAATGCACTTTCTTGATACTTTAACCCATAAGACCTACAAACACACGAAATTGAGTTGTAATACGACATTAACTAAGAAATTATAGCACAAATGCACAAGAATAAGCTAGTTAAGTCGCCTAAATATGCTCCTATCCAGAGGTCGCGCGTCTGGGTAGTGGGTGGGGGGGGTTTGGCGCACAAATGTTGGGTTTCACTCAATTTGATGGGGCCCACACCGAATCGTGAGCTAATTTTTTGGCGGAATTTGGCCTGAGTTTGACATTTGGCTTTTAGCCCAAAGATTTAGATTGGGTTTGCGATATCCCACATCACCCAGGTGAGTGATCCTTATATGTATATTCCAATCCCTACCTAGCACGAGGCCTTTTGGGAGCTCACTGGCTTCGGGTTCCGTAGGAACTCCGAAGTTAAGCGAGTAGAGGGCTAGAGCAATCCCATGATGGGTGACCCACTGGGTGTTGGAAATGTGCCCTAAAACCAATCATATGATGATACTTTACGGACATTTCACAAAGTTAAACTAATGTAGTTTAAATGTAAAGGGCAAAGATTATTGTTTGAGCCATCTCATATAAATGTTATATGCTTAAACAATAAGTCCAAGGAATATGTGATTGGAAGAATGCGATCTAAAGAAGTTAGATTCATGAGACCATTCTTTCGTTGACACATCCTAAACGTTCCTGATCATAGGATTGTCAATTGGGCATTGACAGTCCATTAAGATCAGTACGTGCTATGTCTTCTCTCAGGGAGAGTGACTAGTCTCGAGTCATTGGTGTGTGAGACATCAAGACAAGTACGTAGGTGCTCAATAGAGAATGAGTTCACTGAACACGATCAACGAAGAGTTCTCATATTCATGTCACATGAGAACTCATGGTTGGGATAATGCAAATTAGTCTTTTGACCTGAGGTATCACAGTTGTCTTGTGGTTAGGTCCTTAATCTTTGATTATGTCAAAGTCACTCCATCAGGAGGGTGTCCACGGCATCGTTGGGGTTAAGCCACTTAGGCATGGAGGCAAGTGAATGCGCAACAAGGGATCTCTAACCTTCAAACTGTTTGAGGGAGAATACTCTATGATATGATTAAGAATCTTTGGTTAAAGTATGAATGAGATTTAGGAATGTGTTCCAAATCACATTCAAGGTAATCATATAAGCACAAGACTCACATTGGATAGTAGACATGAATAAACTATCAAACCAAACAATGTGGTCAAGAGTATTGTATTAGAGAAAGACCGTATTGCATTTGTAATCCTAAAACTGAATAAGTTCTCCACCTCTTCTGATTAGCTTGGGTAACCATGACATGCTGCTAAGCGTCAACCATGGTTTGTGGAAGCCCTAAAAGTGTATTATCACTAACGGGAGAATTGAAAGAAAGTTTCAATTCACAATCGATTTGAAAGAGTTTGAATCGCCCGCTGCCTCGCTAAAAGGAACCTAATGGATCGTACACCGTGTAAGGTAGAGATTGAAGATTCAACGGAGATGAGTAAGAATAATTAAATGGTTTAATTATTTATGGCAAGGATTAATTAATATGTTAATTAATCAAACGAATAAGTTCGTTAAAGACCTCGGGATAGTTTTGGACCTTAAGGCCCAATGGGCTTCGATCGTCAAGTCCATTGACTTAAGTTGTATGACAACTTAATGAATAATGATTCACAAAGGCCCAAATAGCCCAATAAATCCCCTTAGGCCGGCCATTTAGAGGAGGGTAGTGAACTTGGCTTAATTGCAAGTTTACCACTCCATTGTGAGGTGGTATAAAGACATCTTTATAGCCATTTCATCCTAAGGGTTTTCTTAGGAGTAAAGATGAGAACACAAACCTCCCTTTGCTCTCAAAGAAGCCGGCCACCTTGGAGGGATCATCTAGCAATCAAACTCCTCCAAGGTCACTCATTTCTTCTACAATATGCCTTGGTGTGGAGACTTAGAGGTTCTCAATTTTGGGAACTTGGAGAAACCTTTTCATCCATCCAAATCCATGGATCTAAGATGCAAGGAATGAAGGCCCTCTCTTTGGGTGATTAGCCTTTGCTTATGTAAAGAGGAATCTACAAAGGTATTGATTTCTCAACTCACTTTGTTTTGAGTTGAGTCTTGGTTCACCTATCTACTAGGCTTTGAAGTTCATGGGTTAAGTTTTGTTTTTTAGTGCATATAAACATGATTCCGCCTTTTAATTGTTAATTGCATGTTGTTGATGTTGCTCAAATGAACTTGTTTTTCACAAATCATCCTTCACTGGGAAGTTGCTCGTGAGTTCCCAAAAACAAAACCGTGAGGGAATGGTAAGCCCAAAGCGGACAATATCGTGCTACGGTGGTGGAGCGGGCCCGGGAAGTGATCCGCCCCGGGCCGGGATGTGACAATTTGATCCCATCAGAACTCCGAAGTTAAGCGAGAAGGGGGCTAGAGCAATCCCATGATGGATGACCCACTGGGAAGTTGCTCATGAGTTCCCAAAAACAAAACCGTGAGGGAATGGTAAGCCCAAAGCGGACAATATCGTGCTACGGTGGTGGAGTGGGCCCGAGAAGTGATCCGCCCCGGGCCGGGATGTGACAGGGTTTTTTTTGTGGGGGGGGGGGGGAATAAATGGGGAAATTTGGCAAATAGCCCAGGGTTGAGTTTGGTTTAAGACAATTTCCAACCCTTGGGCTAAAACTTAAAATTTTTAACCCAAAAAATTTAGGTTTTAGCCAAGAAACAGTTTTTTTCTTCCAACTCTTCAGGTCTAAATTTTTTAGCCAGAGATTATTAAAGAATAAATTTAGGCTAATTTTTTTCTTTTAAGATAATTTTTTTTAAATTATATACACTATCATAATTTAATTTTATGAACATTTGAACCTAAAAATATTTAAATTCTGATAAATATTAAAAAATTACTAAATTTGGGTGAATTTTGAGTTAAATACTTTTTAAAATTATTTTAGCCGTTGGATTTAAATTTGGACCGTTAGATTTTATTACATTCGATCTCAGCTATTGGATTCAATAAATCCTGAAAGACATGCCCATATGGGTGCGGTCTCGCTGGTGGTGTCCACACCATTTTCTAGGCTAAATCTAAGAGAAATTTGGCTTTTGTTTGGTTTTTAGTTTTTAGCCTACACATTTAGCATAAATTGAGTTGGATTTGGAAGGAGAATAAAATCTAAAAAATAACGTTTAGTCCATGATTGAGTTTGGTCAGAGTAGTAAACCTGCATCTCTTCGGCTTCGGATTCAACTGACCCAATATATATAGCTTTCGTACCCCAATCTCCCATCTCTCTCTCTCTATCTCTCTCGTTCCTGTCGTCCAAATTTCAACTCAAACTCTCAATATCGTCAACCATGTCTGCAGAATCGGCTAGTGCAATCCAAAGAAGCCAAGTAAGTAAAACACCCACTTCCCAATTTCCCTTTTCTTCTTCTGGGTTCGTCGCTAAAAGTAAAAACAACATCCGAAAATTGGTGGGAAAAAGTTTGAATCTGGCATCTGGGTTTCTCCTAAAGATCAAAACCCAGTTTTTGAATTACCCAATTTCTTTCCCGGCCCAGAGAATTCCAAATTCTGATCCTGCAGTATGACACTGCTTTAAGGCTTCTAATTTTGTTTATGGGGCAGGTTGATCTATTGGACTTCATAGATTGGTCTGGTGTTGAATGCCTCAACCAAAGCACTTCTCACTCTGTTGCCAACGCTCTCAAGCAGGTAAATTTTATAATTGTTCACCCTGTTTTACTTGTTTTTAATCTTTTTTACCTGGAGAATTATTTGTTTTGTTATTGTTTCTTGGATGTAATTTGATGGGGTTTTGTTAAAAGATTGTTAAGATTTACGATTGATACTGTGTGGTTTCAGTTTTTGTGTTTTAATGATATAGTTCGATTAGTACTTGAACATGTTTTGGATTGGATGTAACGGGGAGTTTTACTTACTTACTCTTGTGGATTAACGATTAGGGTTATAGAGAAGATGATGGTTTGAATCTGGAGAGCGATGCGGATGAGCAGCTTTTGATTTATATACCTTTTCTTCAAGTCGTAAAACTACACTCTATCACCTTCAAAGGGCCTGAAGACGAAGGTAGCATTCAGTGTTTCTTAATACAGTTCAGCTGCATGTGACCGTGCTTGCTAAATTAATCTTGTTAGTGCTATGCTTGAATACACTGATATGCTTTGATCTGAATGCATAGGCGACTGTTCTTGAAGGTCTTATATGTTTACACTATTGATGTTGCATTTCTTTGATTTTCTTGGCACTTGCTTCTATCTTTCGTCTTAAAATCTTATAACAGCGGAGCCGTCCCAACATATTTTATTTAGGGTTCACAGTAACAATGTATTTCATCTCTTGTCATAGTCACTCTTTTACGGTTTATAAGGACAATGAAAGTTTTGATTATACATAAATAGATGTTTTTGTAACCATGGAGATTAAGAAGCTACCGATCTCAACCAAAATGCAAAGGGATCATGTTTTTTCTTGTTTGGTGATTGTAACCCAAAAATTGGTGTAAGGTCATTGTATTTTAAAAAAAAAAATATCAGCCTAAACAGCAACTACTAATTCAGTGAACACGAAAGTTGATAATGGAGCATTTTTGGGCTACATATCATAATTGTTATCGCACAAAGTTTTCGTCTTTACTGGAAAACCATTGAAAAGGTGAATGTTTTCTCAATGTTGGCATTGTTCAAGGTTGTATTACAGGAACGGGAATATGAGTTTTTAACAGTAACTTCCCCTGAGAAAGATGGTTTTCCAGCCGTCTTGGCTTTTATACCACTTTGCTTCGTCTATGTTTTTTCATTTTTGTTTTCTCTTTACTTGACCTCTTAATTAACCAAATTGTAGTTTTCATATATAGGTTTTATCCTGAAATTTTTTCTTTGGAACGATTTATGAAATGATGTTTGATACTGTTCTAACCTTAAGAATGATATTTAGGTCCTAAGACCGTGAAACTTTTTTCAAACAAGGAGCACATGGGATTCAGGTATTATTCTGCGACAAGTACCTTCATCGATCGTGGATAAATGCATTCAGTTTAATTGATAAATGCATTTCTTATTGATTATGGCAGCAACGTCAATGACTACCCAGCAAGTGACACCATTGATTTATCCCCTGATAATTTGAAGGTTAGGATTCTGTAACTACGACATCTACGATGTGATTCTTTTGCTTGGTGAAGCCAATTCAGCGATGCATATTTGGAAGAGTTCTGTGTTATATTTGATGTTATTTTTATACGTTACAGGGAAACCCAATGGTTTTGAAGTATGTCAAGTTTCAAAATGTTCGCAGGTATCTTTACTCAAACCTATTTTCTGTTCATATACTAGTTTATTTGCTCATCTGATTCAATTGAAAGTCATTATATTTGTTTCAGCTTGACTGTTTTTATCGAGGACAATCAATCTGGTTCAGAAAGCACAAAAGTTCAAAAGATTGTTCTTTGCGGAACAACGTAAGTTTCTATTATTCCTCAAATCACATTACATTGGTCTACATTCTGTTGATTTGTACATCTGACATGTGACCGAATTTCCATTTTGATAACAGTATCGACGTATATTACATGCTGTACGTATCTGATGACTTATTCATCGTGTTATGTAGGGTGGAAACGACAGACATGAAGGGGTTGAAGAAAATTGAGGACGGACACTGAAGAAAGAGAGACAAGTAGTAGTAGAAGAAGAATGAACAAATTGGATCATCCAAATTTAAAAACCATAGTGATCATCTAGCAACCCTATTTGGTTTATGTTGCATATTATATTTAAGGATTATTATCTACTTTCCGTTGGGATTTTTCACCGTACTTGTTACACTATCTCAAGGTCAGCGCATACCACAAGACTTTAGGGACTTACTCTCTCTTCAGTTTTTCACATTGATGTGTCACGTGAGATATTTTATCTCCCTTGGCTTTGCTGCGCAATTTGACTAGAAAGTAGAAACTTTGCACTTCTCTCTCAAAGTATATTTATGAAAGAAAAAAATTATAAAAAGATGGTAAAATTAATAAAAAGCAATGCACCAGCCGGGAATCGAACCCGGGTCTGTACCGTGGCAGGGTACTATTCTACCACTAGACCACTGGTGCGAGTATGTCGGATTCAGCGATCTCTTCCATATTGAATACAGAATAGAGGAACGGAAAAAGAAACTAAACTGGATTTGTCCTCAATTGCAAAATGACCCATTGGCAATTATTTTATTAATTTTGTCTAACACTGCCTATAATAATCAAATGATAAAAAATGAGAGTCATTCCTTGTGCAAATTCAATAAAATGGCAAACCGTACAACATCGTTTTTATCGTGATTGGGTAAGTATTTTTCATCGAGTGATTTCCAGGTGTGTAAAATATACTTAGGAAGATTTGTAACCACAAAAGAAACATGAAATATCGAGCAAGTTAAACTCACTACCATGGAAACAATGAGCTCCAGGTGCTATGTAGCAGATTTTACATCGATCGAAGTTGAAGAGAATGGAAATGTTACGAGGACTCACCCGGGATAGGGACAACATCATTTCCTTGGTGGAGAATCCATGCTAGTGCTAGTTGAGCAGGAGAGCACGGGTGTTTTTTACTGAGGATTCCTACTCGATCGTACGTGTTCTTGTTCTTGTCTAAGTTTTCTCCTATGAACTGGGGCTGTGAGGTCTTGCAAAACGAAGAAAAACAAGGTTTCAATAGGAATCTTGTGGATGCAACGCTTTTAATGATTACGCGAGCTCTGTTAACCCCGAGTGTTATTCCACAGGACCAACATTTACTTTTACAATGGACTGAGGAGACGAAATTACCACATAACTATTTGCAGAAACACTTTCAACTACACCTTTGCCACCGAAAAATCCACGACCAAGTGGACTATATGGAACTATTCCAATGCGAAGCTCCCCGTATGCGATAACCTTGAGAAAAATATTTCATAAACACTACGAGATCATCTTCAAAAGCATTCCCTTTTTTACTTACGGAAACGGAGTTATGGAAACAATTCATGGTAACAGTTTTGCATAACTCAGAGTTTCAGATTGGATTTTGAACGTACCTGCAAAGTGGAACAATATCTTCCTCAATATCACGAGTCCAGAGGGACCACTCGATTTGTAGAGCTGTGATCGGATGAACTGTGTGCCCTCCTTACTGTGTCCGGGCTGGCTTCAGATAACCCGATAAACTTTACTTTTCCTTCTTCCACTAGTTTCTTCATCTCACGCATCTAAGCTCCACGAAAAACATAGGTATCTAAGCAATTTTTATACAAGTTTGGTGCTTAGTGGATTGAGGAAGAGAATTGTTGGATAATGGCCAAATGTTTCCTTGTTTTGTGGCTTGTTTTGTGGCCTAAATTGCTCCATGTTTTGTGGCTTTTTCAAAGCCATATTTTGTGGTTTTTTCAAAGCCATGTTTTGTGGCTTTTTCAAAGCCATGTTTTGTGGGAGAAGGCTTGGATTAAGAAAAGCATAAAAAGAGAGCATTTGGCAAAACAAGGATATGGATGAGAGAAGGAAAGCATCCAAAAGAGATGGTGTGAGCATTTGGCTCTACCATGGGCATGGGTGAGAGAAATCAAGAGAGCTAGAGTGGAAGATCTCTTGTGAAAGAACTCTTGGGGTAGAGTGAGGCTCTTGGGAAAATTCTGTGAGTGGGTGTACAAGGGTTATGGGATTGGGTTATGTCAATTTAACTCATGTGTAACTTGTACTGTTTTTCTCATAGTGAAGAGCAATATCTCTCCGAGGACATAGGCAGGTTTTTGCCGAACCTCGTAAATTTCTCGGTGTCTTTATTTCTTGTATTTTATTTTGTTCAACTGTGTGTGATTTTGGTGAGGTTGTAATCTGAATCTCGGTTCCGCACTAACGAACGGGCCAAGGCACAACAATTGGTATCAGAGCATCGTTAGGGGCTTTGGTTCGTTGGAGGTCCAGATTTGTTGTTCACCATGGAATTTTCAGTTGAGCAGTTTAAAGGGAGAGGCGGTTTTGCTCTTGGTAAAGGAGAGTAATGAAAGCCTGAAGAAATGGAAGCCGTGTTTAGGGATGCTTGGATCAACTGCGAAAGTTGATGTTGAGGAAGAAGACAAAGGCCTCTTTCTTCTTACCTAACTTTCAGATTTGTACGATAACCTTGTGAAACTTTACTGCAAGGAAAGAAACAGTAAGTTTGGAGCAGGTGCAAGCTTCTTGGGTGTGGAATGATACACACAAGAGACCATGGATGATGGTGGGCACAAGACTGCTTAAGCTATTCAAGGTTGAAATCGTGGAAGAAAATTGGAAAGAGGATCTGAGAGAGACAGCAGGTTCAGATCCGGTTCCGGAGGCAAGGGTCCACAGTGCTACGGGTGCAAGGCCGGGTTAGCAAGTTTGTAGTGGAAGACTTTGAGTATGCCCTCTAGGTACTCGAAGCAACACTTCTCTTGGTGATGTTTAGTCTCAAGTGTTGCAAGGGTTTTGCAGCAGGTGGAGCTATGGGATTCACAGGTGATGAGAAGGTCCTGAGGTAGGAGGAAGTGTGAGGAATGTTTGTCTGGCTCGACGGTTGTTGCTGGAAATGGGTGCACTGACAAGTTTCTAGGTTGCAGACAATGAAGAGGAGGAAAACCTGCTGGAGGAGACGAGGATGTGTTGAGATCCTGTCTGAAGCTAAATGGTGATTTTTAGCTTGCAGCAGCTGCACATGCATTGGCAGTAACTGAATCGGAACAGGACCAACGAGGTTGATTCAGAGTGTGCATGCTGGTACGTAAGGCCAATGGACTTTGGTACAATTTGGCCAAGGTGGAGATTGTTGGATAATGGCCAAATGTTTCCTTGTTTTGTGGCTTGTTTTGTGGCCTAAATTGCTCCATGTTTTGTGGCTTTTTCAAAGCCATATTTTGTGGTTTTTTCAAAGCCATGTTTTGTGGCTTTTTCAAAGCCATGTTTTGTGGGAGAAGGCTTGGATTAAGAAAAGCATAAAAAGAGAGCATTTGGCAAAACAAGGATATGGATGAGAGAAGGAAAGCATCCAAAAGAGATGGTGTGAGCATTTGGCTCTACCATGGGCATGGGTGAGAGAAATCAAGAGAGCTAGAGTGGAAGATCTCTTGTGAAAGAACTCTTGGGGTAGAGTGAGGCTCTTGGGAAAATTCTGTGAGTGGGTGTACAAGGGTTATGGGATTGGGTTATGTCAATTTAACTCATGTGTAACTTGTACTGTTTTTCTCATAGTGAAGAGCAATATCTCTCCGAGGACATAGGCAGGTTTTTGCCGAACCTCGTAAATTTCTCGGTGTCTTTATTTCTTGTATTTTATTTTGTTCAACTGTGTGTGATTTTGGTGAGGTTGTAATCTGAATCTCGGTTCCGCACTAACGAACGGGCCAAGGCACAACAAGAATGACGTTCAGTTTCCTCAATAGGCACCGAAGTGTCCACCCGGTGGTAATAGTACAGATCAATGTAGTCCACATCAAGACTTTTCAAGCTCCCCTCGCAGGATGAGCGGACATACTCAGGAGTTCCCTTCGCTGAAATAATAGGAGGATCCGCCTGTCCAACAATACCAAACTTTGTAGCTACTTGAACTTTCTCCCTTGGCAACTGCTTCAAGGCCTAAATTAAGCAAACGTTGTAGTTAGAATTACAGAATATACAGCATGTACGGTAGCTGCATATTTCTGCTCCTTCATCCAAAACATACTAGGAAACACCGAGACATACACAATTAGCAAATTGTCTGCTACTTCACAATTTATATCTATCATGCATGCATCAAGGCTGTATACGTTAGACCCCCAACTCTCGCAAAACAGGGAGCTTTGTTGGCTTGGGGTCCCTTTTTAAGCATGCAGGCAGTAAATTCTAAGTTAAGTAACTTCATAAACTCGAGAGTGGAAATATATACCTTCCCAAGAAGAATTTCATTCGCATGAGGTCCGTACACATCGGCTGTTTCAAAGAAAGTGATTCCTTTATTGACATGTTTTATTATCGCGATACCATCAAAATCGGCGACAGGAGAGTTGTAGATCCCACTCAGGCCCATGCATCCAAACCCCAGTTTTGAAACCTGATTAGCAAAGGGTTGTTTGATAACCATTTCGTTTTTAATTTTTAGTTTTCAGTTGTGCAACAAATCAGGATCAAATTAGCAGAAATATATTCAAAAAATTGAGCATCCTTCCAACCACAGAAAGTAAGCATCTAAATCAAACTCTGCAACAAAGGTTAACCTCGAAATTCTGATGAAAGGGAGCCTAGAAAGCATTGAAAGTGGCAAAATGTTTAGGCTTCGTATGGAGTCAAGGATTGGATTGAACTAGATAACTTAGTAGACTGACTGGATTGATCACGAGGGAAACTTATCCCTTCTAATTCCCACGAACATTATAGGATTAGTAGGGATAGGTTTTCTTCATGACTAATCTATCTTCCTCGAACGAGTTATCCAATCCAATCCACTCATTGACCACAAACGAGCCTTCTTTTACAAAAAAAAACTGGAGATCAGTAAACTTTGAGCATACTGTGATGAGTTATATACTACACAACCAAACATAATATTCACTAAAATATCAATCATTATATACCTCAAATCCACAGTTTCCAAGTTTAACTCTTGGAATCTGTATTGCCATCTCCTCAGCCATACTATTCCCCTCCTCTGGAAATAATGGTTTTGTTTTTTTTTTTTTACCTTCAGAAAAACCCAAATCAGAGAATATTTATATATAGAGTATTTGAAATTAATAGAAGATTTAGCGCAAAACCAAGTTTAATAATGTTCTATGATTTATAAAACCGACCCCACTTAATAAAAAAAGACTTTATTGTTGTTGTATTTGAAATCACAAACCGCTGA